GTGCTGTGGCCACGTCTGTCCTCACGTGTTGTGGCCACGTCTGTCCTCACAGTGCTGTGGCCACGTCTGTCCTCACAGTGCTGTGGTCACGTCTGTCCTCACAGTGCCGCACACAGCACCCACGGGCAGTTTAAAAACCGAAAAACAGGTCCTTCTCCTCAAAATGTGTCAGTGCCATCTACTGGAAACAGTTTCAGTGGCTACCCAGACCTGTGATGGCTTCCGTGGGAAACCACCCTCTAGAGCTGCGCGGTGCGCAGCCGCACCACACACGGGCCGAGGCCAGCCGCCCGCTCTCTCGCCTCTGTCCGCGGCTTCGCTTTACCCAGCAGTAGGAGACGCCAGTCCTTTCTCTCTCTCTCTTTTTATTATTTTTAAAGAACTCATTCGTTTTTATGTAGAAGAGCTGTGGGTGCAGGCCAGAGGTGTGGGGGTTGAGAGGATTCCCCAGAGTCAGAGTGGGGAGCAGAACGGGTGGATCCACTGAAACCCACAGCTGAGGGAGCCGCGGGGAGACAGGAGGGGTCTGCTGTGCCCTGGCTGGGGATCGAACTCGTGCTGCAGGGGCTGCGGCCAGTGACAGCGCTGAGACCTGCCCCCTGTGCCCCCAGGCAGGGCCCTTTCACTTGGCTTTGTCTGTAGCACACCCACGTGTCCCTGGGGTCACCGGAGCGGGGGTGGGGGGGCGCAGTGCCCCGTTGGTGCTCAAAATGGATCTGGATGGAAACGCGGGCGCACGGGGGGGCCCGGGGGTGCTGCGGGTGCTGAGGCTCACGCCGCCCCGCCCTGTGCTGCTGCAGTGGTACATGAACGGGGTGAGCTACTTCACCGACCTGTGGAACGTGATGGACACGCTCGGGCTTTTCTACTTCATCGCGGGCATCGTGTTCCGGTAAGTGGCCCTCGCCGCCCCCAGGCTCAGGTGTTCGGTTCTCGGGCGAGCGAGTGAGGAAAGACTGGATGCGTCATGCCCACGAGGAGCCCTCGTCCCCTTGGAGTGGATGGCAGAGCCACCACGGTCACTTGCCCCTCAGAGACCCAGCAGGGCCCTTCCCTCGCCCCTCGCCCAGGCTGGCCTGCTCCGCCGTGTGCTTAGATCTGGAGCTGGGGGCGGCCAGCAGCTGAGGTGGCCACAGGAGGACGGGCGTGTTTCTCTTCTTTTTCCTAACAAACCGAAGTCATGTTTGTTCTTTGAACGGTGACGCGACGCTCCTACGGAGCAGACAGGAGCAGGCAGGAATCAAAGCCCAAGGCACAAAACACAGCGTGCCGGGCCGCGCAGACCCCCTCCCCGCCCCCCCC